ACCTTCAACGCCATGTGCCACGCATAAAAGTGTCATAAGTACGCAGGGAGCCCACAATGGCAAGCAAACACAAGCCACTGATTGCGACCTTAGGAAGTCCCAGTCCAATAACAGCCTTAGCGGATTGAGCTGAAGTAGTTCCCTCGAATCTTTGACACTATTTAGTGGATTCTTGTCATGGTTGATTTCAATTACAAACCCTCCGGCAGGACTCATCATCCTGAGTTGAGGAGCAAGCCAATCTAGTTTTGGCTCTCACCTTTCGAACTCTGTAGCATCCACATTAGGTTAGAGATCGTGTGTCCACAAGATGAACCCTAACTAAATATACTCATTTGCAAACAAATTTGATTTTGCGATAGACTCACCTGGAACCCAGCGGAACCTCTTGTTTGCGATGTTTCCAGGCAACTGAATGTGCTGCACCAGGCCGCCTCATGTTTCAGCCACTACTATATTCGAGATATCGCGATACATGTATATTCGTAATGCACTATTCATAACCCCAACTAGTTTTAAGCTCGTTCCCCACCCCCACTCCCAAAGCGTACGCAAATATCGGTTTGTGAAACCTAACTGGTGACTATCTCTCCCTTAATGAAATTGCTTTACTGTCACCTACCAACTGACTGCCACAACCCGTTTTCCGATACCATTTTGTTTCTTTGCTCAACTTTGTTAAAGTTAAACCAATATTTCCAATTTTGGAAAGATGTACAGTATCGTAACAACATTCCATGACACCGTCATTAAGTGCCCCGTTGCTCCAGTCTACTTCTATTCTTCACCAGTGGTCAAATGTCTTAAGTCCGTAAAGCTGGTCAGTTGGGAGTGTCTCACAGACTGACGTTAATACGGGTCTGACTGTCTCTGTGTGCACACGGGGCCTAATTCCTGAGCGTATCCGCAGGATAGTGTGGAAGGCCTTTCTTGTATTGTTGATGTAAGCACTCATTTCTTTGCATGGTAAGTTGGAACGATGGTGAGGCCTGGGCACTTGAAGCAGTTGAGTTGGTTTACAGGATCTCTGTTGACGCCGAACGGGCTGGATTGAATGTCAATGCTTACGGAGAAAAGATGTCTTTTTGGTGCTTATTTACAAGCCGGTCTTTGGAGCGTGCTGGTCAATGAGATCAAAAACAGGTTGCATCTCGGTGAGTGGTTACTCAAAATGACGGTATCATGAGCGCAGTCCAGGTCCCGTAACAAGGCCTCGTGCTAGAAGCCTAGTTACGCCCTCTAAAATCGTTGAAGGCAGAAATCATTGTCCAGTTGATTGGGAAATTGAAAAGCGGCGACAAAAGTGGATAGCACTCTCTAGACAACGCGTCCTCTCCATAGATTCATTGCATAGTAGGATCTGATGAAAAAAATTAAAAAGATGTTCAGCTGTAACATCCTTTCGGTGCCTAGCTGCCATGCCACCCGAAGTAAGCACAAGGGCTGGGATACTGCCAGGTTGCCCAAGCCCAGACAGGGAAGTCGAGAGGCAGAGGTCGGGTTCGAACCACGAACCTTCCTGTCAGTAAATTCGCACTCTAACCACTTGAGATTTAGTAGTTCATCTGCTACGTTATCAGTCTTCAAGATGGGACAGAGGTATTCTCTGTTGGCTGAACTGAATGTCAGACGAACATCAATAATTCAAGAGGTAGTTGGTTGTTGGAAGTTGTAGTGATGTACCAAACACAATGTAACGTCAATAGTTTGTCAACGCAACCAAATATAGATCCATGTTTTCCATGTGCTCACTTCATACAGCACATGATACAGAAAATACTCTTTCCGCCTCACCGAATTCAGCCTGGAGCTAAATCACGTGCTTTCATCCTTCTACATACAAACTGGCGATTGTACGGTCCTGATAAATTGTTCGAAAATCAATTTTTTGTTGAACACATAAACCCATGACACATGCATTCATGAACAAACCTGTGAGAATTGTGACTGTCAATTTTAACTCAATCAATTGCATCGTTCCAACATACTCTGATATAGCGTACTCGAACAGTGTGACCAACCACGTCTCCCAATGACTTGTCCTCTCTCAGTCGATGTGATGTGTGGCCACTGCTATGAAAGCTGGCCGGTTTGACGGGCGATATTCTAGATATCTACGCTCTCACATCGAGGTACCCCATTACTAGGGTAAACTTTAACGCGCTGATAAAGAATAATCTAGTAGGGAATCGTATTCAAGCCCAGTGGTCCTCCATCGCTCGATCACAAGCGCGGATGTTCTAGTTCACTGAACTACTGTTGATTGCTAGTTCTGCCTATGATTCCGGAGTGCAGCTGATCTCTTTGAACTTTTTATTCCAATCCTTTTGGAAAGACTGTATTTCACGCCATTTCCCTTTAATCCTTTCACCCCAAATTTGCAGATGACTGTCTTCAAGTATATTGAAGACAAAGATGTTTTTCAAAAGTTTTACAGTAAGACGCTGGCGCGTCGTTTGGTGTACAACCAGTCAATCTCTGAGGATGCTGAGGCGTCGATGATCTCGAAGCTAAAAGAAGCGTGTGGCTTTGAGTACACAGCAAAACTTCAACGGATGTTCCAGGATGTCAATGCTACTCGTGAACTGAATGCTAAATTTGCCAACTTTGTACAAACTCGCGAAACTTCCCCCGGTGGGCTCCTGAAAGGAGGTTGGTTGATTTTGCATGGTTGTTTTTTACTCCATGTTGATTTGAAAATCCAGCCTGACCTACCACAATTTGGGCCGTCACTTGCCATCACCCTGATGCAGTTAGCCATTTTTGACACTTTACACCTCTTTTTGCAAAGTTATGTTGACCTTTGTTGAAAAATTTGGTTGTATTCTGAGATCGTTTTCCAGTTGTTGACTATTTTTAGCGCTGTGAATTTCTCGAGCTCTAAGTTGAAGCATTACCAGCTTCCTGAAATCTGGAAAAGTGGTGCAGGTGAAGTGTTTGTTGCCGTCGATGCATGAATGTTTCCGTTTCCGGAATATGCTTTGACACCATTAGAAATTTAAAGGAGACCGAAACCCTAGTTGAACGATCACAAACGTTTTCCTGCCTTACGTGACTCATGAGTTCCACAACATCCTGGTCATTTTTTACGCATTAACGCCCACCGATGGGACAAGCCAAGCTTGGCGAAAAGTAGTAATTTGCAGGACACAAATTTTCCCTCCCATCCCCTACCTCCAAGTAACTGTTACCCATTTAACGGCTGGTTTACAGTCTTGTCGGAATCTTCGGGCGGTGATACGAGTGCGGTCTGGGTAACTGTGTACCATTCAAAAAGGATATCACCAAATCAGTGCGTGACTGAGAAGGCTTCCGATTCAAATGCGAGTGTGTCGAATGTAAATTAGGGGTGTTCACTATCACAGCGAGCACGAAGACTTTCAGAAAGTGCACAACCCGATCATTGTTCTGAACCTCGATAAAATGGAAACAAACTCAAGGCGTTCAAACGGCCTTTTATCTTTAATTGAGTCTCCTGCCACCTAGCTATATCTTCATTAGTGTTACAGCTATAACACCCGCACGGAATATTAGCCGGGAATGAGCGTTTCATGTGTCATCTTAGGCTGCGAACTAAAAAGGCTAGGGATGTAAAAGAGACCCGTGCGTATATGCCACCACCAGAGTGCCTTACATTGTTAATTGCCGCGAGGACTAGATGAGAGGGTAGAATATTTGAATAAAACAAACGCCTTGCACGTCATTCAGAGCTGGCTTCTGTTCCGTTCCCGGTCAACCTGGAGCTGGAGATTCTCTGGAGTATAGTAACACATCGAGTGCACAAACATCTATGACCCTAAAGTGGGAACAAGAAATTTGGATGGTCAGTCATATATTGACCAGAGATGTAACAAAGTGATTCACAAAAGCTTCGGGCCGAAAAAAAGGCCAGAAAATATCATCGGCTATCTTATAAGCTTCGGGCCGAAAAAAAGGCCAGAAAATATCATCGGGCTATCTTATTCTCTATCGATGACACCACAGGGCAGTCTTATTATTTTGTTGCTCTTGTCGGTTGATGAAGGCAATATCCTTGCGTATTCTTGGTTTGCTTTCTGCTAGAGTTTGTAACCTGGTGACAAAGAATATCAATTTCCATCTTTCGAGAGTAAAGTACTGGTGAAAAACATGAGTAGTCCCACAATTTTGATTGTAAAAATCTTTGAAAAAGGTTGCCCACAGCAACCAAAACGTCGGATTGCTACCGCACTGTTTTGACTTCCACGTAATGTCCACTGATCCTTTACCAGAACCAACTGACTTTCGGTTGGTTAGAGCCACTGGCATCCAGTACTGTGATGATAGCTTCCAAGAGCATTCTGCAAGTTTCAGAGTGACTGAGTGGTGCAGTTGTTACGCATTTTGGAAAGACCCTTTTCCCGTCTGGTAGTGATGAATTTTGATCTTAGCAGGAACAAGTGTTCATTGTGTATCTCCTGCTTCTCTGGTCACAGCGCCCCTTTAAGACCTACAGTCTTCAGTTCATGGGGTCCGTCGCGTGTGCACTGAAATGTAGTGAATCTGTGCAGCTACATAGCCCTTGTTCGAGTGCCTTGGGTGGTGGATGCGTCCAATGCTGACGAGTTGCTTGATGGCCTGTTATCGGCCTCACAGTGTCAGCCCAAACCCAACGGACTAAGTACGTGGCGAGCATTGCAGTCCCTCGCCATTGTCGTTAACAATCGTTAACTTCCTTTTGATCCTTTGATGCTTCGATGGATTTTTCTGTCCGTTTCGAATCGCCCCTGATGCTCATGTTCATTTCTTCTGCCTCGTTTTAGTCGATTTCAACATAATGATCCTCAGTTCCAACGCATGGCCTTACCAAGCGCAGACACCTTTTTCTATACCACCTGAGGTTAGTGGTCTCCTTTCTTTGCATTGATTATTGTTCCGAAGTTCAACTTCGACTGCCTTGGTTCCTGTCTCCGTGCCTGCCATTCCACCCCGACCTGATACTCCACTTTTCGTACTCCGATAAGATAAACAAATAGATTCACATCTTTTATTCGTGACATTATCGGTAACTGGATGTCACGTAACTCGAAGAAATTATGTGAGCTGAGATACTCAGTGCTGACAAAGCCAAAACAGCCTAAACGTTTGAGGCCAAATCCATGTTTTCTCAAAAGCTTCCACTTTGTCTTCAACTTAACTGGGTGTACGCCACCGGACAGATGCGGGTTATGGGGGCGTGTTTGTTAGCCCATCAGGGGCTCCGTACAAGTTTTGTGAAACAGACCTGGAACTAGGGAACTCCATTGCAACCCAACTTCGCCCTGTTTTCTCTGCGACCTGAAAATTTTAAGTTCATTTATTCGTCGCAGCTTTTCAGCACTTTCTGTCCGCACCGATCTTATTGATTGATGTAGTGACCCATTGGATGTCTTCTCATTCGTGGTTGTCTATTTCAACGATAATGGCTTTCAAGTTCCAACTGCCAGAAGGCAGCGGAACGCGTGCGGCTTCCAACCCCTCACATCTGCAGCCTTTGCCACTATTACAGCGGCTTGTAGCTAACCCACTTTAATGTATTTCCTTCGAGAAAACGCCTTTTTCACCCCACCCCCAAAGAGGTGAGCACCCGCAGACCTCGGCGTCTGACCTCCTCCTATCCAAGGTGTCGCTCCCCCATTTTATGCAGACGCGTGTGGATTTCTAGTGCTCGGCTAGACGCCTCGTGGAAGTTGGAAGCAAGAAAGTTTAAATTAGGCTCAGTTGCAATTGGATTAAATGCAACAGAGGCTGTTGTAACCGTTATGCTGCAGATTGGCTTTGAAAACGCATTTCATTTTACTCTTTGTACCAGTCCTTTTCCGGCTGGGAAATCGAGCAAGATGCAGCCCTACTATTTTCGGTAACCATTTTATCCAAACCTGCGACGAATGAGAAAAACTTTTCCTGAGATTTGTGTGAACCTTTCGGCTCCAGTAGATTGGTTATTTATTACTGTGTGCTCCAAGTTGATCAGCGCTTAACCTGTGGCCCATCCTCAGTTCTAACTAACGCTGCTGATGAATGGCTCTTTGGTGATACCTAAGGTAAATCACACCGGAAAGCGGCGGAAACTGAGACAGTTCTTACCAAACCCTGCAGCTCCATAGAAACGATTCGCCATCATCATCGATAGCAATATATCTGTAATAAACACGGGTGTTTAACTGCCACATACCCATGCGGAGGGCCCTAGTAAAGGGTGAAGGGTAGGAGGAAAGACAACGACTCATCACCAACAGCCCTATGTCCCTAGGAAAAACGGCCAAGAATAAGGGACCTACACCCTGGAATAGCAAGGAGATGAGCACATCTGAGCGTCATATCGTAATAAGACGTCATTTGGGTTCACCCAACGTCCTTTGCTAACCTTACTCGAAATAAGTTCACCACACAATGACAGGCAAACTTTAAGTAGACAGTCCACCACTACCGCCACAGATCGTTTACGTCACATGTCCTGTAGTGCTCACATCCATGTGTAAGGGGAAACACGTGGACCCCAACCAGAGGGGACGCGAGGATCTCACGGCACTCACTTTGAAGATAGACGCTTTCGCTTGGCGTTCCCAAATCATAGCCTATTCACTTGCGTTTTTCGCCTACAATATTTGTAATCTGGCAGCCCACGTGCATTCTGCCAAGTAGCGCAGTGTGCAGAGGTGCCCTCGAATGTGCGTGCGAGCGATTACGGGATTCTGTACCGTGGGCACTTTTATTTATAGTGTCTAAACACGGCACTGGAACTGGATGTGAGGACGTGAACAAACTTAACGAATTCACTGCGAACAATCGATATTTTTTTCAAGTTAAAAAATCTCTACCAGATTCAGCAAGTGTCCCCCAGCTTAATAATACATGGCTTAATCAACTACACTTGTATTTTGGCATTGAACAGTATATTCCGTTTTAACCCTGGGCTCAAATGCTGCAATGTCTCCGGAGGTTCAGTCAGCTGTGCCGCGAAGATGAGAGGAAGGCAATACTGTCGGGCCTCGTAAACCTAACTACCTGTATGGGTTACTCATATATAAGTATGCTTAGGCTCCACGTCACCGTCGTCCTGGTCCACAATACCCATCTATAGCCCAAAACAGCTGCTCCCACGCGACCGTTCGATGCGCTGAATCATCATTCGGATTAATCGCGTCGAGGTGACTAGAGCCAGCATACTTCAGCATATCAAATAAACGTTCATGGGTTTGGGTAGAAAGCTTGACTTCATGAGTGAGTGGCTAAATGGCAGCTCTGCACTGATATTGGACAGTTTATGGCCTCCACATCCTCTCCACCTTATAATCTGTTTTGCCTATCTACTTTGCCGAATCATCTGGAGTAAGGTAACCACTGGGATTTGTAAACAGTATTTTCCCACTTAAGCGAAGTGTTCCCTCCTATTCGGATTAAGGATATCAAGGTCGCTGAATGATGCACTTGTTGACCTATCCTTTCAGTTCGAGTCGTGATTCATAATCGAATCTGGTTGTTATCGTTTTCATGAATGAACTCATCTTGATCAGCTTACTGGTCTTTTTTACTCCAAAAATACTGCCTTGGATAATGACTTCCTTAAATATGTATTGTTTTTGTCCCATTTTTTGACAGAAGTACTATAGTTATCCGCGAAGTAGTATTCTCACCCCTCTCAGATCGCTGTGCTGTAGAACTCTACCTCTCATCTGCTCTATTTTGTTACATCCCCATTTCAGCTTGAACAATGCCACACTACCTTTCTGTCCTTCTATCAAGAACATCACACTGGTCGCAAACTTAGTTGGTGTTATCATCTATCTCGAGGCGAAGTGGTGACCAACTATACAAAAATCCGGTACACTTTCCAGGTAGGTATCGTGCAATGCATTACTGTCCCGTGGTAGTAAGTACCGTATCCATAAAGGCTGAAATTTTTCCTTCCCTCCACCACGCACACACACGGTAGCAGACCCAGTGTCGACTATCGCTACTTCACCGTCTCGCCACTCTACTATAAAATTAAAAATAAAATGTTGGAGTCATATTGATAATTGACGCAAACCTTTCATATTGCGTACATTTCCAGTACTCGGTTAGACAACCATTCACGTCAGCTTGAAACTGTACCTTGCAGTTTTTGTTAAGTGCAAGAAGGGTCACGTGGACCTCGTCCTAGAAAACAGGCTGTATATTAGCGCCTTTACAATGTTCGTAATCCACATGACCTGGTGCTGCATGAACGTGTTTCTCAAGCGAATGGACCGGTTTGGATAGTTCTGGTAGGATCATGGACCAGCACATATAAATCGATTAGTGCGATTCGTTGCGGTCGGTTGCTTGATACACAAATGAATAAAAACATTCACATCATCATTTGACGGCGTTGCTGGAAGTTTCATCTCGCGGCTTATCTATGCAAACCGCTGATGCGGACATTTGGGATCTTCATGTTGCTATGACCAGTAGTTTGATTATATTTTGATCTGTAAACAGTTTTGCTCATCGATATAGAGTGGACTGAGATGGAAAGATTATGCCTTGGGCGTGGCAACTTGAAATACTGTATTACGTTTCTGATGATGACGTTACGGCAAAGTCCGCATACAGTGCGTCATTCCCTTTGGTGACTCCTTTCGGGTTAGATGTTGAGTGATGCGATCCCAAAACGGTAAAACACTTGGAATCGTTCACTCAACGCGGTACTGTCAAATCGGACAGTTTACAAACAGATAATGATCCTCGGCTCTTCTAGAGGACTGGAGAAACCACACACCAAGTAACAAGGTTGAGAAAAAATCGCCGCTTACGGGCCGCAACATCGGACGACTAGCTTGCGGTCAGAGGTCATACTCAAAAAACGGCACGTCATCGATTGGTCATTGAGGCCCGGGTGTGCCTGAAGGGAAACAGGCCAAATGGAATAGCTGATTTGATGGAAGTACATCAGAACAGCGGGCATAGGTTCAAACAGCTGCGGGTGGACATGTCTAAACACATCAAGGATCAGCAATAACACGGGTGATCAGATTGGAGCGAGTTAGAAAGTGGAGGGCGCAGACATGAGTTATTTGAAGGTGAATTTTTAAAGGATCGGAAGAATGTCCAACCTGTTCCAGTATCGGTATATATTTTGTCGACGAACTAGAACTGGGTTACAACAGCCTAAACAGCATCCCTCCGAGAACGACTGCTTTCAACCGGTCGCTACGTTTCGGTTGGGAGGATATCTTGCAATCAGTAGTTGTGTCGTTAGTAGTGGTAGTGGTGAAAGGAAGAAGGCCTTCGCTGCGGAGTTATTTATTAGAAAATGCCAACTGACCAGTTACAGACTATTGGACAGAAAAGCAAAGCTCTCATATGCATCCTAATTACAAAAACTGAACGCCCAACTTCTCTTGAACGCGTCTTCCTGAGCTTTCCTGGATATTCATTGAGTGTTGCTCAACTCCAAGCAAATGCTACAAAGCAACTCCACAAATCCCTTTCCAAGCGAATTCACAGAAAGAAAAAATACTACTCGCATGCCTCCCCCATCAGTAGTATCACTGTTGCAGTGGTAGTAGTCAGTCATTGTGGTGTTGGTTTTCGTCCTACCCGGGGGCTATTAGATCCATGAATTCTCTCCATTACTTTGCGAATAACTAACTGATCATCCTTTAGGTTTTGAAGTGTGCAGTGAGTTCCCTCTACGACAATCGCTGGCTGGACCGGTCATTGTAGAACCTTGTGACCTGCGCTCATTTTTTTAATGTTAGAGGGGCCGTGTAGCTGATAAATGAGGGGAAATTCGTCTCGCCTAATACTGTTAGAGGTGTGTAATAGTCATCAGAAAAATCTGGTGCATCAAACTACTACAATATCGGTTTACTCACTTTAGGGAGTTTGGTTGAATTGTTCCACGCGCATCCAATGACTTGAGCTCGCTAATAAGACAGACGATTGCTGCATCTAACCTCCTCAATTTCTAGTATGCTCGTCCACATTTCTTGTTTTGGTAATGTTGGTTAAAGTTGTCCTTCCCCAGAGAGGTGCTTCAGGAGAGTCTGATCTGGAACGGGGTTAACGACCACTTTGCTTGTTTTCATTCCATATTCTGTCATGTTATGTGATTTTCCTGAATCTGTGCTTGCTCGTCCTGGCCCATCTATCACATGACTGATGTAGTCTGGCTTACTCTACGACATTCACAGTAGCCTAAAACTCCTCAAATCTTCTTCCATCCTACTTCATGTGCCACCCCTACCTGTCGCTCGTGCACTGTCTATGTGCTTGTATGCGCCAACGTCAGACTGATTGCGTCTGTCTTTTCCCCCAAAGTTGTTTTGTCTGTCTGCACAGAGCCGGTGAGGCGTAAGATTGCCATTTCTTGTCTGGCTATTAGCCAGAATAGCTTCATCCGTGTTATCGTCAACCAAACGTGTGGTTTTCTTTAGTTTGGATTTCCTACGTAACATCTGTAGACGTCATCTATTCATTTATTCTTTCGCTCGCTTATCACCGGACAGGTTTCAACTTACCAAATGTCCATACTCATGCTGTACAATTCATCCCTGGTTCATTCGGTGAATAGTCTGCAGTCACAGACTTCGATCGAACTACCCACCCTACTGCAAATTCTCCAGATACTCCTCAAGGCGAAAGTACTGCGAATTGTGAATGAGAACGAAGCAACCCGACTGTCCACACCACGGCCGGATCCCACGTCCAGCTCGACATCGGGCAACGTCGATGACACACCAGAAGTTCAGCTATCGGGTGAAACACATTTGGCACTCTACACCGACTATAAAAAGTAAGTCGTGTTCTGTTCATTGGAAAACCAGGTTTAGGTAAAAACCTACCTCCGGTGCAGAGCCATCATGCCTCCTGCAGAAAGCACAAGGTTGGGATCACAGCAACAGCACAGTCCTACAGAATTGAGTTTTTTTCTTCTCAAGCGCTTTATTCCTACTTACGCTACATAACGTCGTGAATCCACTTGCTCAGGTCCTGAAATTGGGAAGTCGAGTTTCCGGCGAATGACAAAAATGAGAAGACCAAACCCATGACGGACTGTACCTTAGACATTTTATCCATCTCTGGTTTCCAGGTCCCGTGTTCTGGACCTGGTCAGCTCTACCCGAGCTTCGGTTTGCGATGCACATATGACCACTTAGGGCTAAATGGACCTCATTGTAAAGAGAAGAATAAAGGTGGACGGGGGAGGGACTTAGTGCTAGCTTAACACAATCATTCCGAGGTGCCTATACCCCCGGACATTCACTCAGGTGATCTGGGTAGAAACTGACAACAAGAGCGGCACTGGCATCGGTTGGCAGCCATATATTGTAGTGTCTCTAACCAGGCACATTGAGGATCATCATGATCATCAAAGACAGCAACGTCAGTGTTGCCACGGATGCTTCACTGCCGTACAACCATAAAGTTCGTTTAGTTTATATATATATATATATATATATATATATAT